CGAGGACCGCGAAAACAGGTCCCGCCGACCCCAACAGAGCTCCATAAAGATTTAAGTATGCTACTCTGTACATCAGGCCAAAAAGATCAGCCCTCTTTTGAGTTTTGCTCTACCTATAAATTGATGTAAGTCAGATCTTCAGATCGATCAATACAGACTTTCGAACGTTACTTCATCGTCTTGGATTCTACACGCTTTCGAGATTAGTTTCGTTCAAAAGACATGACATCTGAATCTCCGATTCCATTCTTTTTTCAAATCTTTCGCCTAATGATCGTCTCGCGCCTCTTGAACGTGAACATGGACCGCACGTTCCCGCCACCAGTTAAGATGCCAGGCGTGGTAGAATGGGACCGCCGGCTTACGTCGTGCCCGGATGCGGAGAAACGAAGTGTCGAGGGTATTAAGGACGAATCGACCAGCGTGCCGACAGCGACAGCAGAGACGGCCGAGGAAGGAGACGGGGCGCCCCGAGGTAGTGTCGGACGTCGAAGAGGAAGCCAAGGAAGCTTGCAGACGTCGAAAGAAAACTCGACTGCTGACGTCGCGCTACTTTGACTCGGAGGAGTTGCTTCGGCGACGGAGAGATGCGCCAGGCCGACGACGAGAACTGGCAATGCAGCGGCACGTGTCGCGAGGAAGTGGCATCCAGTAAGGTGGGCAGAGCTTGCCAATTACAGGGCAACCACGGCGTGTCCGACGACGCTAGGCTAGCAGCGACGACGAGGTGGATGCCGTCAGGTGACAATATCACACGCGCGGCCCCGAAGCGTGGTGGCCGCCGCGCCGGGCAACGACCCGGACGGCCGCGGCCCCGAAGCGTCGCGGCCCGCAAGCCAACGGACGTCTCGCTCAGCACGAGAACGTCGCTGGTCGCCGCGTGCCCCCGCTGCCGCGCCGGATCCTACTGGCGCACCGACCTTTCAAACCAAGGCCGAGTTGGGCCGGTATGAACGGCACAGCGGCGGCGCCGCCTACATCTGTGAGTAACTCTGCGGCGAAGAACAGTTCTCGGTGCGCAGCACATCTTTTCTACCACATCACGCCACCAGCACAGGAAGCGGCGTGCGTCTGCGAGACAAAGTGCGGTGTCGTCTCTGCTCCAGCATGGCAGGGCTGGCACGGCGCACGAAGATGTGCGTGAGCACAGTGAGCGCGGCGGATCGGCGTGCTCCGGCGTTTGGGGGGCGACGCCGCTTCTTAATCAACCCCTTCGCGCTGGCGTAAGCACGCAGCGCGGGCCACGACGCGCACGCGCCGCCGCACGATTCTCGTGCTCTTACGCTGCGCTGCCGGCGGCGCGTTCTTACGAGGCGCAAGCACCTCGAGGTGCAACATGCTACGGCACAAGACCGATAGAAAGCCGCTGGGCAGTGGCCGGCACTGCGAATATCGTCTGCCAAGCCTGCGAAACTCCATCAAACTACCACGTGAAACAAGTACCGTATCCCGGACAAGGCGCCGCACAAGTAGGGGGCGGCTGTGACTCCCTGCGAAGGTCCATCCGGGGGAGAGGGGTATTGGGGGCCACTAGGGGGCGACACGTCGGAAGTGGTGCTGGGGGTTTTGGCTGGCTGCGCCCTGACCGTCTTTCTTGTGCATGTACTACTTTTAATATCTTGTATCTTGTAAATGTACCCCAGATGTTGTGAATGTGTTTTGCAAGGCTTGGTTTTTTTTTTACCGAAATTTGTAATTTAACCTTTTGTTGTATGTTAAGTAGTTCTGTTGTTGTAATAGTATAGTAAGTACAAGTAATTATATAATATATATATATATATACTATATAAGTGTTGTGAGTATACATAAGTCATCATATATATGACCTATCAGTGGCTCGAAATAAGGGATAAAAATGTGGTTGTCCCTACGGAGCAACCCAGCATCAAATTCGGGTTGTCTGGCAAAAAATTTCTTATGTCCCGCAAAAAAATATCCACAAAATTTCCTATTTTCAATCACATAATAATAATTAATATGGTCAGAAAACACCCAAAAACACTGGTGTGGCCAGGATTTTTTAACAAGGGGGGCCAAAAACAGCGAACTGCGCAAAATAGTGGATGACTTAATATTTTAATGGCTCGATCCTCCGCCTCCCTTTCCACACCCTACGGCTCCTCTACCTCTCAGCTCTGCAATCTTTGTTTTGGGCGCCATGCAAAAAGGCGACATTTTTGTTAATTGTTCTCTGCTCCGAAGATATGTAATTGTTCAGTGGTGGGTCTAGGATTCCAAGGAGGGGGGTGAAAAACAAGCGGGGGGTATGGGGGTCCTCCCCCAGAAAATTTTGAAAATGTAGATCGCAGGAGATGGTATTTGCGGCCCTTTTGAGTACATGTACAGCCTTCATTGTGACTTTTTTTTTACTTTCGGATCAACATGAATCCCACTGTTGTTTGTTTTGCATGGGCAAAGCCATCGGAAAATTCAAAATAATAATGGAATAAAAATACTAAAATGTAGGGGTGAACTTGCTGGTTTGCTGGTTCCAAATCGAGTTCACCTCTCATAAATCAGAAAAACCGACATATACCAGTGTTGGAAATAGCAGCTGGTATGCGTCGCTTTCCCACACCATAGATTAATGGCGGGCCGCTAGGCTATAAGTGCTCTTGGAGAACCCCTGAGAAAATAAAGTGCGTTTTTTCGTCAACTTTTTTCTTGGTTGTCCACCGGACAATGTCTCAGACTGTTTAGGTTGTCCGGCACAAATTCTGGTTGTCTCGGACAACCGGACAACGCTTATTTCGAGCACTGACTATATATACTCACAACACACACACCTCTCTCTCTCTCTCTCTCTCTCTCTGTATATATATATATGAACTACGATGTAGTCCGATTGTATAAGTGTAATTATGTATAATTATGTATAAAAATATATTCCAGTAATGTAGCATTTGTT